AGGACCTCTCCGGTAGACAGTCTATATGCAGAGGCTAACGAACCTTCCCTTGAACAACGCCGCATTACACTTTCACTGCAGTGTATCACTAAACTACGTTCAATTCAGTCCAATCCAGCATACAATTGTGTTTTCACCCCTCTCTATGAAAACTTGTTTCCCAAACTGCCAAGCCTGGTTCCACCACTTGGAATCAGAATCCAACCACACATATCTGCAGCTAAAATTGATCTCAATAGCATAGCACCCTACCGACTTCTGTCTTCACCACCCTGGCAGATGGTGAAACCACAGGTCGATCTTACCCTCACTAAACTCAAAAAGTCTGAAACAAATCCCTTGGTGTTCCAGCAGGAATACATCCAGTTACGTTCCAAATATGATACCCATAGATCCATTTTCACAGACGGATCCAAGGATGGGGGCCAAGTTGCCAGTGCTACAGTCATTGGATATAAGACTGTCTCCTCTAGGATTCCCGACAACAGTTCCATTTTCACTGCCGATGCCAAAGCTATCTTTTCAGCTTCGACCTATATTAAACAGCAGAATCATTCCAAAAGCTTCATCGTTTTCACAGATTCATTATCTTGCCTTCAAGAACTTCAAAATGTTACTTCAAGTCACCCAATCATTCTGGACATTTTAGAACTTTACAGCGACCTCTCTACTGGCCAATGTGACATCGTCCTCTGCTGGTTGCCGGGTCACGTGGGCATAGCAGGTAACACAAAAGCCGATACTGCAGCAAAAGCAGCTCTTGACAAGCCCTTATCTCCACTGCTGATCCCGTACAGTGATTTCAAACCCACTATCAAAAGCTATACTCGGGACCTCATACAAAAGATGGGACACTCAAGTAGAGTGTCTCTCTGGCGTCATGCAAAACGTACAACTACCGATGTTGAAGTCCGACAATAGCTACCATACAGTGATGTCAGTTGTACCTTATAAAGTGCCGTACACAATATTCCATTAATGTCATTGAGAAGACCTTTTAGTTAAGCGGTATTGTTTACTTATCCGAGTTTAGTTAACCGGACTCTAATAGGTAATAATTAATGAAGCAATTTGCCAGGACTAAAGAATAGTGTTTACTTATCCGGTCTGTTTAGTTAAGCGGTCTTTACTTAGACGGCTACCAGTGTACTTGAAATAAATATGATTTATAAGGCAGCTTCCAAGATAATGGAAGGGCGTGGCTATTTATGTATGAAGATGTGAACATTTTCAAACGTTCCGAAACGAGGCCTACATGCAAATATCACCAAATTAATGTTCAAAATGTACACAAAAATCAACACAATTCTAAACGTCGTGTCTTATCACTTTATTATTTGTGGAATACATACTGCTTGGTTTGCAGGAACCACTTTGACACGTCAGAAATACTATACAAAGTAGATGCAAACCGTACTCACGTTTTGAGGAAGAAGACACATTCAAGAATAAAGGACAAAACACTGGATGTCGGTTGGAAAACAAAAACCATGAAGCGCCAAACAAAGGGACATTGATCGCGGATATGCATGGGGTTTAGTTTGTGTTGCTTGCTGCTATGCAGGTGCTCTGTAGCGCTCTAAACTCTTCACCTGGGGTCATTACACCGGCCATTCTGGAAGAGGTTGATGGCGATTTGGTCAAAGTATCGTGGGTCGGGTCAATATTACTTGGAACGTCCTCAATGTGCGGTAAGTGTGCTTGCTTCAGGGCTACAACAATACGTTTTAGCTGTCAGTTGAACAGAGCACAGGTTCAGGTCGAATGTTAAACTACGTGTGTGGCAAACTCGTTTGAGAAGGCAATTCATATCATTACGGTTTATTCTGTTGCTCACGCCTGATTCACCACGGAGAGCAAATGTGCATTACTCCATTACATTATTGTTCAATGTACCTCTTAATGCTTTGTTATATAATGATATATATATAGGTTATATCCCAAAACTTCCACATCCTAAAACTTCCACATACCCATATACCAGCACACATTGTTAAAACAACAACTCAACATCACCCCTTGTAGGTAATGGGATAGCCCAGGAAGAGCACTGAACTGAAGCAACAGATGGGATTATATATCACCTGAGCTTAGCAGAGTACATATTTTAGTAGAGAGAGAGCAGTTATATATATATTTTAGTTAATGAATCGGAAATATATCTTTAATATAAATTCATTATAGCATATATTTCATGTAGGCAAAATTTGTAAATTTTGTATTGTTATTTACTTTGAACTGTTGTTGATTACTTTCATAGTATTCTGAATATATAAAACATAAATTATGCAAGCTGAACGTACATTCAATGTATATTAAAATATGTAGTTTTACAATATAACATGGCTAATGGGTTTTTGAAATTTTATATTTATCTCTTAAAAGGGGCCAACAAACCACAATTCCTTTCAATTCTGATTTGCAAATATAAAGTAATGTGTAGCAAAAAATTCAAAATGAGAATATGATTTGTATTATGCTTACGTGAAGCTCTACTACCAAACATACTTGCACTACAAATTTCAGACATAAACATATAAATCAATTTTAATGAAATAAGGACATCGATAATGTTGTGGTATGGACATTGACATTAATGGTTATGGTAGTGACACAATAACGGTAGTGACATTTTTAATAATAGCCAGTTTTATACGTTTACTTTGAAAGATAATTTAATGAAAATTGTCAGTCAGATATTTCAGGATGTTTAAAGAATATGTAATAGGCAACAGATTTACTTTTGGATGTCCCTGTCATGTAAAAAACTGCGTGTTACGGCAGTGACATTGTGACGGTATATAATGTCACTACAGTAACAACATTATCACAGTCGTGTTCTTCTACGTCAGACTCTTCAGGTGCATCAAGAGACAGAACCGTCCACTTGCTCCAACAAGAGTTACAAAGTGACAGGGTTATGACTGTCAAATATTAGCGGGTGAAATCTTAGACACTATAGGACATAAGTTCGATACAAATGTTCTACATAGACTGTTATATCAAACCAGAAAAAGATATGTATTTTTGTTAATATATTACTAAGTGATTGTTTGTATTCACTACTGAATAATGGGTTAAACCATTACAGACTGAGGTAATCAGTATGCTAAAGTGTGTGCTGTCAACCAGAAATGTTGTTGTTATAAGCTGTGGAAGTTTTGGGATGTGGAAGTTTTGGGAGGATACCACATAGGAACTATGTATTGTACATTTAGATGTACTTTATTGACAGGTTGATTGATTGGGCAATTAGGTGATACCTATTGACATTGATTTGAGCAGGCATACGTATCTGTGCGGTTCTTAAAGAACCGACAGTCTGCAAGACTCGGAAGACTTTGTTGTTACGTCAGTCTTTGCCACACACAACTCAGGGTCATTGTGTACACATTAGGGACACACGTTCGGTATCTTACGTAAGACATAAATGACTGTTTATCCGTATTTTGAAACATTTGTCTGCAATGTTTGATGCTCAACCACGAAATAATGTTGAAGTTCCCATATTGAAGTTCATTACAGGAAGAAAAAACACCAAATATGGAGCATATTTACTAAAGTTCGTTGTGGAAACAGTATGATGAAAGAAATACATGGTTCCTTCAAAGAAAAAAAAATGAAATTCTACAAACATACCAAACTAATGCCGGACTTTTTCAGGACCATTTGCAGGAATTATTCAAGACAGAATTGGAAACAGATTGACGGGTATTCTGGGTGGCATATTGATGTTTGTAGGACTGACAGCTGCATCCTTTTGTAGGACTGTCACTGGTTTGATCCTTACGTTTGGAGTCATAGCAGGTAAGATTCAACATGCTTGCTGTGTATACTTGACTCGTACAGAATGGTCAATGTGGCACTTTGATTCATGGTTTTAAAACAAAATGAAAAATGAAAGAAATTTATCTTATAACAATAATCTGCAAATGTGCATGGTAGATTCTGACAACATTATTGAGTTGAGATATTTGAAACTCAGTAGTAGGAGGCCATCACATTTCCGAGGTGCCGAATTAACCTAATGCTAGATGTTTTGTTATTACCTACATGGGTTAAAATAAATGGAAGCTGGTATACTTTTGATATTTACACAGTGTGCAGTTAGTGAATGACCCTTGAAGCAGACAGTCAAACAAAGACTATTTCTCTCTCACTGACTTCATTCACAAATCCAGGGCATTCTTTTCCATATATTGTACGTGCTACAGTCTCACTATTTCGAGATTTACAAGACAGGAACATAGTTTCTGATCACCAACATTTCACATTATGGTCTACAAAACATTCATTTCCCATGTGTTTCAGTTTACAATCAAAGTAATTACAAAACGTTACAGCTAAATTCGCGTTTGTAAACATGGCTGACCATTTGTCACCTTGAAAGTTTATGACCTCTGAAGGTGGATGGAGATCTGACAGGAACTTTTGAAAGTGACACATTTTCCGTAATTACTCGTACCTCGTTGGTTATTCTGTAAATTTACTCGTAATAACTCATTTATGTATACTTCCACAACCTGCGAACGTGTGTATCTATATCCACAGGGTTAGGTTGTGGTCTGGCTGCTAACGTGAGTGGCGTGGCCCCCTGCATCTACTTCAATAAGAGACTCCCAGTAGCATACGGTATCTGCATGTCTGGAGGTGCCTTAGGACTGCTGGTAATCGGACCATTAGCAGTTCAGCTGTTAGAGATGTACACTTTATCAGGCGCGTTGCTTATTTTGGGTGGCATTGCATTCAATGTGTGCTTAGCTGGAGCTCTAATTCGACCATCGTCTACACTGATGCAAGAGGAGTCAATGTCAATAGATCTTGCCCGCCAAGAAGACACAGGGGAGATTTGTGATGCACAAGGAGAGCCTACAATGACGATGCAATCACAATATATTGTTGTAAATGTAGAAACTACGACCGTCAAGTTTGAACAGAGCGACGTTAAAGAAAACATACCTGGGAAAGGCAATGAAACGGCAGAATCTCTGCTGGAACACAGCTCGGATTCAAGAACTGAAAACTCACGGAGTAGGATAATACCTCAATGCGTAACCTTGTTCTGCACAAATGGATTTTTCTTGTATCTGCTCAGTATCATTTTCTGGTCTCTTGGGGAAGCAGCCTGTATGGTTCATTTACCAAATTTTGCTGAATTGAGAGGCAGTACACCCGCACAGTCTGCAAGTTTGTTCACTGTCATGGGTGTGCCTGCGCTTTGTTCCGGACTGCTGGCTGGTTTTGCCTCTTCTGATCCAGCTATTGGAAACATTATCCTTCACGTTGGACTACAAGGAATGACAGGAGTATCCCTTCTGTTACTCCCCGTGCTGTCACATACGTACAGTCTCCAAATGATTTTCAGTGCCCTGTATGGTACATACAGTCAGGGACCTTTTACATTGGTTAGTCCTATATGCATTGAGCTGATAGGCCGATCCAAATTGGCAGTTGGCTATGGTATATGTTCCTTTTCCTTTGGACTCGGCTACATGGTTGGACCACCTATTGCAAGTAGGTTAACATTGAACGTATATTTTGTCGGTGAATGTGTGAGTGGTTGATACGATAATGCGTTAATTAATGTGTTAATAGACGGCTCTTATCCCACTATCTGAGTGAGTGAGTGAGTGAGTGAGTTTAGTTTTACGCCGCACTCAGCAATATTCCAGCTATATGGCGGCGGTTTGTAAATAATCGATTCTGGACCAGACAATCCAGTGATCAACAGCATGAGCATCGATGTGCGCAAATGGGAACCGATGACATGTGTCAACCAAGCCAGCGAGCCTGACCACCCGATCCCGTTAGTCGCCTCTTACGACAAGCATGGGTTACTGAAGGTACATTCTAACCCGGATCTTCACGGGTCCCACTACCTGACTTGTGCGTGGAGGTATGAACCAATTATGAAACATCCATAGTCATAGATACTCAAATATGTATGTTGGTACATACTACTAAAGATTTTAGTTTTTGTGTTTCAGGCCTTATCTATGAAAGTACTGGAGTGTATGACTTCACGTTTCTTTTCTCAGGTAGGTAATTGTGATCATCCTTATTGAAATATCGCCATATTGTAAAGAAACAAGTAAAATGACTTTTATGCACTCCGCCAGATGCAAATATATCTAAAGAGTCCACTAAATGATCAGAGAGTAAGTGTAGACTTGGTATTTTGTTCAGATATAGACATTCGTGTCCCATTTGTTAGACTAATCATTATGACAAACCAATAATGAAGCATGCAACTTTATGGATGACAACTCCTTGTTTACTGTAAAGAGCGTCGTTTCGATGTAGATTTCTGCACCGTTATCGCGTTTAACTTGATAACAGTGTAAGAATCTACATCAAAAGGTCGCTCTGTGCAATAAACAAAACAATTTCAAACAATAGACAAACCATTGATTGTGAGGCGGTTACCTTTAATTTCTGATAAAGACAAACAATTAATTTTAAGAGGAAAACCATAATCGTTCATTTTTTAGAAACAACATGTTTTCTTTGTAAACATCGGATTTATTTTCTGTAAATATACATTTAATGTGCTTGTTGTCTAGTTGTTTCAGTACAAAATGTCTCCCAACATCAGTGCCTCATTGTTGTCTGCATATTTTATAGTAAGGGAGTATAGTTTTACGCTGTTTTAGCAATATATCAGCAATACCACGGCGGAGGACACCGGACATAGGTACATATCTTTTTAACTCTGTGTATATTTGTTCATTTTTCCGTTACAGGTGCCTGCTTCATCACTAGTGCCATCCTCGCCTTGTGTATTCCACTGGCCAAGAAGTCAACATAAATGGACATTTAAATCAGCTCCAATGCTTACCTTCTCATGCATAGTTACAAATTCTGCTTAAGAATGCAAGGCTTTAAATTGAGCCGACCAGGCAGAGAACATATATGTGACCTGCGGTTAATTCCTAAATAAACTAAGCTTTCAGTTCCTGAACCAACATTTTTTTCCCCGGGCACTTAGCTGCCAACCGAACTGAATGAATATTCAATGGTAAAGAGATGGTAAGAGATTACTAAGAAAAAGAAAATATTTCATTTGTGTGTCACATTTTATACATAAAACATACATAGACACTTTAAAACACTCAATAAAATATAACATCCGGCCATATGGCCTATGAGACTGTAATAGGAGGATGCTGCTCAGGTCCTCAGGTCCGCAAGATATTGGGCTTTGAAGCCACAATGGCAACAGAACACAAGATATTATAAACAAAATTAATTTATTTTAAACTTAACAAATATATATCCCGGAATCAACAATAAACTAAGTTAAATAAACAACAACAAAAATAATGCCTCCAAGGATCCTAAGAAAAGTGAAAACCCTATTAAAAATACCTAGTCTACAGAAACAATAGTGACCCCAGAGTAAAAAATATTCTGCCAATTTGATACCCCTAACCTACAAGTTTTACCCAATAAAATTCTTGCTCTGAAAATTACCACATAAATGCCTACAAAAGAAAAGTTCAATGGCCTGATCTATCTGCTAATGAGATACTCATGCACTGGCCCATCCCAATGTATTACAATGGGGAAAAGCATACTAGGCACATGCCTAGTGGGTCCTCACCCCTCAAGAGCTAAATGGACCAGCCCACACAAGCCTAAGCCTGGTGTATCTTTTCTAGTCTAGCCTATGCCTAACCCTGTCCCAACCCTAAAAGAGAACAAGCTTAATTTATACTAAGAAACCTAACCATTACAAGACACAAGACACTACATTATACCTAAAACATATAGCAGTGCATAAAATATCACAGATTTACAAGCAACAGTGAAGTGTGGTATGTTTAATTACAGGACTACAAAGTGCGTTTACGTCTATTAAACATTTTAGTAACCAATGCAGCTAAGGGTTTTATTCATTTAACATTACCTAGCATAAATGTGGCCTGCTCAGTAGGCTACAAGTGAAAAAAGGGTTAATATTTAATACAGTTTCCCACAAGTCCTATTGTAAATCCGAACATAGCGGACAGCTGACCAAAAAGTGAGCTTCGTCCCCAATCGTATTGTCATCACAACATTTATAAATTATATCATCTGAAGGTGTTTTGGAGCGTGTAAATCTACAGACCTCTATTTCCAAAGGTACCGCATCGTAGCTTACTAAGTATATTGCAATACGATTTAGGTAGAATATCAGTAATATATGGCTCAGCTGTTAATAATTTCTTAAATTCTCTGTAAGTACGGAGTCAATTCAGCGAGGTTTGCCTCTGTCGTTCCAAAGTTCTTTATTCGAATTCTAACTATCTGAATATCGTATCCACCGTGAAACTTAATGGAATTCCAATTTAGACATATTATACAGGTCCGGCAGGCGGAGATCTAAATTGTTAAGAATATTAACAAACAGTTCTATCTACAAGCCAGACACACCAACTCACTCAGACAGACACACCAACTCACTCGAACAGACACACCAACTCACTCCAGACAGACACCCCAACTCACTCAGACAGACACACCAACTCACTCAGACAGACACACCAACTCACTCAGACCCCGACACCAGACACAGACACAACTCACTCAGACAGACACACCAACTCACTCAGACAGACACACCAACTCACTCAGACAGACACACTCACTCACTCAGACAGACACAACTCCGACTCACTCAGACAGACACACCAACTCACTCGAACAGACACACCAACTCACTCGACAGAGACACCCAACTCACTCAGACAGACACACCAACTCACTCAGAGACACACCACTCACACCAGACACACCAACTCAGACAGACACACCAACTCACTCAGACAGACACACCAACTCACTCGAACAGACACCCCGTCTCACTCAGACAGACTCACTCGAACAGACACACCAACTCACTCTGAGACAGACACACACCAACTCACTCGAACAGACACCCCAACTCACTCAGACAGACACACCAACTCACTCAGACAGACACACCCAACTCACTCAGACAGACACACCAACTCACTCGAACAGACACACAACTCACTCGACTCACACACCAACTCACTCCAGACAGACACACCAACTCACTCGAACAGACACACCAACTCACTCAGACACACACTCACCAGACTCACTCACTCAGACAGACACACCAACTCACTCAGACAGACACACCAACTCACTCGAACAGACACACCAACTCACTCGAGACAGACACACTGACTCACTCGAGACAGACACACCCGGACTCACTCAGACAGACACACCCAACTCACTCAGACAGACACACCAACTCACTCAGACAGACACACACACCAACTCACTCACTCTGACAGACACACACCAACTCACTCAGACAGACACACCAACTCACTCAGACAGACACACCAACTCACTCGAGACAGACACACCAACTCACTCTCAGACAGACACCCCAACTCACTCAGACAGACACACCAACTCACTCACTTGACAGACACACACCAACTCACTTCAGACAGACACTCAGACAGACACACCCAACTCACTCAGACAGACACCCTGACTCACTCACAGACAGACACACCAACTCACTCAGACAGACACACCAACTCACTCAGACAGACACACCAACTCACTCGAACAGACACACACACTCACTCACTCAACACAGACTCACTCACTCGACAGACACACCAACTCACACTTCAACAGACAGACACCCTCACTCACTCAACTCACAGACACACACCAACTCACTCAGACAGACACACCAACTCACTCGAACAGACACACCAACTCACTCAGACAGACACACCAACTCACTCTCGACAGACACCACTCACTCAGACTCACTCAGACAGACACACACAACTCACTCCAGACAGACACACCAACTCACTCAGACAGACACACCAACTCACTCAGACACACCAACTCACTCAGACACACCAACTCACTCAGAACAGACACCCTGACTCACTCAGACAGACACACCAACTCACTCAGAACAGACACCCTGACACACTCAGACAGACACCACCAACTCACTCGACAGACACACCAACTCACTCACTGGACAGACACACTCACTCACTCAACTCACTCAGACACACTGACTCACTCAGACAGACACACCAACTCACTCAGACAGACACCCCAACTCACTCAGACAGACACACCAACTCACTCGACAGACACACTCAACAACTCACTCAGACTCAGACACACACACAACTCACTCAGACAGACACACAACTCACACAGACACACCAACTCACTCGAACAGACACACTGGACTCACTCAGACAGACACACCAACTCACTCAGACAGACACACCCAACTCACTCAGACAGACACACCAACTCACTCGACACAGACACACCAACTCACTCAGACACACCAACTCACTCAACAGACACAACTGACTCAGACAGACACACCAACTCACTCGAGACAGACACACCAACTCACTCAGACAGACACACCCAACTCACTCAGACAGACACACACTCACTCGACAGACACCACTCTCACTCAGACAGACACACCAACTCACTCAGACAGACACACCAACTCACTCAGACAGACACACCACTCTTCACTCGAACAGACACACCAGACTCACTCAGACAGACACACCAACTCACTCAGACAGACACACACTCAGACTCACTCAGACAGACACAGACTCGACAGACACACTCACTCAGACAGACACCCCGACTCACTCAGACAGACACACCAACTCACTCAGACAGACACACCAACTCACTCGACACAGACACACCAACTCACTCGGACAGACACACCAACTCACTCGAACAGACACACCGACTCACAGACAGACACCCCAACTCACTCAGACAGACACACCAACTCACTCAGACAGACACACCACTCACTCGACAGACACACCAACTCACTCAGACAGACACACCAACTCACTCAGACAGACACACCAACTCACTCAGACAGACACACCAACTCACTCTCGACAGACACACCAACTCACTCGAGACAGACACACCAACTCACTCGAGACAGACACACCAACTCACTCAGACACCCCGACACAGACAACTCACTCACTCAGACAGACACCCCAACTCACTCAGACAGACACACCAACTCACTCGAACAGACACACCACTCAATTGACACACCAACTCACTCACACCAACACACTCGAACAGACACACCAACTCACTCAGACAGACACCCCAACTCACTCAGACAGACACACCAACTCACTCAGACAGACACACCAACTCACTCAGACAGACACACCAACTCACTCAGACAGACACACAACAACTCACTCTCACACCCAACACAGACACACCAACTCACTCAGACAGACACACCAACTCACTCGAACAGACACACCAACTCACTCAGACAGACACACCAACTCACTCAGACAGACACACCAACTCACTCAGACAGACACACCAACTCACTCGAACAGACACCCCAACTCACTCAGACAGACACACCAACTCACTCGAACAGACACACTGACTCACTCAGACAGACACCCCAACTCACTCGAGACAGACACACCAACTCACTCGAACAGACACACCAACTCACTCGAACTCAGACCACACCTCAGACACACAACTCACTCAGACAGACACACCAACTCACTCAGACTCTCACTCAGACAGACACCCCGACTCACTCAGACAGACACACCAACTCACTCGAACAGACACACCAACTCACTCAGACAGACACACCAACTCACTCAGACAGACACACCAACTCACTCAGACAGACACACCAACTCACTCAGACAGACACACCAACTCACTCAGACAGACACACCAACTCACTCAGACAGACACACAACTCAACTCACACACAACTCACAGACACACCAACTCACTCTCAGACAGACACACCAACTCACTCAGACAGACACACCAACTCACTCAGACAGACACACCAACTCACTCAGACAGACACCACTCACTCACTGCACAACTCACTCAGACAGA